CCTCAGACCAAAGAGTCCAGACTTCCATCCCTGTGCTGTGCCCCCCACCCCATTCAGGTCTCTTGTTTGGACTCCTTCCTGATTCTGGAATTTGGGCACCCCCGCCTCTGCCCTCTCGGGAACCCAGCCTCAGTGCAGCCCGAGCTGGCTCATCCTCAGCTCTCCCAGAACTCCAGGCAATTACTAGCTTTTAATGGAAAGGTTGGGCTCTGGAGGTGACAATGGCCTCAATTCTGTGGAAACATGACCTCATGACCCAGTGACCTCCCTTTGCCCATGTCTGAACACCAAAAGCAAAATGGCACATCCCAGGGCTCAGGGGATCAGACGAATGGATATGCGGTGTCCGGGGTGGGGGGTACACTTGAGAGCCCCCCAGCCTCTGCTGTCCACCCTCAGCCCAGTGGGGAGGCCACTTCCTGCCCCCCTTTCATAATCAGTCCCTGAGGTTTGGGGCAGGAGGGAGCCTCATGGTTGGTGGCACACGCGGGTGACGTGTCCAACTTCCTGGGGGCTTATGGAGGTAGAAGGCATGTCCTGACTGGCCCAGCCCATCTCCACCTGGCACTCCCTGCCACACTAAGCCCCCAGGGATGGATGTGAGTGTCCCTGGTATCCACAGTCAGCCCCACCCTGGCCCAGGACTTCGTCCTATCCCCAAGTGCCCTCTCTGTGGTCTGGGGGAAATGCCTCCCAGCGTGTCTCCAGCCTCTGGTCTTTGCCTCTGCTGGCCCCTCCACCAGGACGCCTTTCCATTCAGGTCCTGCTCACTCACCTGTGAGTCCTTCTTTCCTTGGTTTCCCTACTGAGGCACCCCCTCCACTCCCAAGTCATTCCTGACTCCCAAAGAGGCCCTGGCCCCTACCGGCCAGGCACCAAGCACGCTGAATTTACCCCAAACCGGCAGAGCGGTGCTAATAGCACACAGCCTCCTGCGCCGTTTTACTTTCTAGTTGCCATGTGGTTTTTTTTCTTTTTATTGCCATGTGTTTTAACAAGTAAGAAAAAAAAAAAAGTGAAATTAATTTAGGAATATATTTTATTTAATCTGATACATCAAAAATATCATTTCCATATGTAATCAGTATAAAAATTACTCATGAGACGTTTTATATACTTTGCATCTCAATTCCATTGCTCAATTTCCAACACTTAAATTGAAATGTAGTCTTACCAAAGCATTAATGTTGTGTTTAAGGGGGAAATACTTTATATTGTTTCTGCTTTTAAAGTTAAGTTTAAATTAATTTAAATGAAATAAAATTGAAAAGTTTCACTTCCTTGGTCGCATGTGCCACATTTCTAGTGCTAAATAGCCACCAGCTGCTGGGGGCTCCCGTGCTGGACAGCACAGCTCTAAGCCGTGTTTACTTGTTCGTCTTATTTGTGGACACAATGCCAGAGACTGACCCAGAGGAAGCCTCTTCAGATACTAGTAGGAGGAATAGGTGATTGGATGGATGATGGACGGATAGTCGGATGGACGGACGGACGGACGGACGGATGGATGGTTGGAGCAATGAATGATTGGATGGATGATGAATGAATGAAGGGGTGGATAGGTGCTTGGATAGAGGATGGATGGATGGTTGGATGGACGGACAGACAAATGTTTACAGGGATGGACAGCTGAGGGGATGAACGGATGCACAATCCCTGCTCCTCCTGCTGCCCCCCACCAGCTGGCACTGTGTTTCCCACTTACTTTTCCCTACAACCTCCACCTTCCCAATCTCTTCCCTGAACCCCGGATGTCCAGCCATCCCCCCAGGTCCATTTCTGTGGGGTTGGTGGTCTCCATTAATGTCCCTCACCTCCCATAATTGGCTAGAGTGTTACTCCGGTGTCTTCCAGCTTCTCCTAGCCACCCCGGCAGGAGTCTGGATCCCTTGCCCCCCAGGACCCAGCTGTCCTTCTCCCCAGCTTCCCTCCCCACTTTCCACAGAGGTGCCGTGGATGGAGACTGTCCGTGCACAGCCTCACACATCCCACCTCCCTGGGAAGATTCACTTGTTCATCAACAAACACGACTGAGCATCTTCTATATTCCAGGCTCTTCCCTCGGGATACGACGGTGGGTAAGACATATAACAAGCCCTGTCCTCATGGGGTTAAGAGTCTTGTGCGGAGACAGACAGTAAACACGACAAAGAAGCAAAACATTTAGGAAGTCAGAAGGTGACAAGTGCAATGGAAAAAGTAAAGCAGGAAAGGGGGATGGAGAGGCTGGCGGGAGATCTGGGGGGAAGTGACATCGAGTAGACTTGGATAAAGGGAGGCCGGGACTCTCCCGGGTGTCTTGGGGCTGGCACGCCAGATGCGCGAACAGGAAGTGCAAGGGCCCTGAGGGGGCAGCATGTCCTGGGTCTCTGGACCTCCTTGTTTGGCCAGTTCCTTGCCAGTGCCCACTTAGACACAGCCCCCAGGCCCTCCTTGTCCCCTAAGCATCCTCTGTTACACTCTAACCGGGTCTTCCTGGATCTTCCTGTCCTCCCGGGCTGCCTCCCCACGGCCAAGTTTCCCTGTCAGTCCCCCTAAGGACCTGGGCATTCCATTCTCCAGGGACTCTCCCTCCCCTCCAGCACCTCAGGCTCTGGCTGGCACAGGTGCCCTTCCACTGGCTGTGGGGGGCCTGGTGATGAGATTCCCGTGGGAGGGACAGGGCAGAACGGAGCAGACGCATCACCTCCTCAGAGCCAGGAACAAAGGGTCCTTGAAGGTAAAACAAAGGAAGAGGTGGCCAAGGTGGGAGGCCCAGGTGGGTGTCTGCTCAGCCCCCGACCCCTGATATGAGGGGCGTCCACTCAGCCCCGACGGGGAGACCGGGTCTTCTTACCCGTCCTGCCTCCCTGCAAGGGAGCACTTGTCACAGATGGGAACATTAAGGTTTAACACTGAAAGTAACCCAGGCAAGATGTGAGGACGTGAACTCGCAGCGAGACTGGGCGATGCTGTGTGCCCTTGGGCAAATCATGCTACCTCTCTGGTCCCCTTCCGTATCTGTTAAATGAGCCTGACATCTCCCACCCCCCTCACCCATGCAACAATAATTGGTCACTAAATACAATTTTTTTTTTTTTTTTGAGACCGGTTGCACCGCGCTCAGCCAGTGAGCGCACCGGCCATCCCTATATAGGATCCGAACCCGCAGCGGCAGCACTGCTGTGCTCCCAGCTCCGCACTCTCCCGAGTGCGCCACGGGCTCGGCCCTAAATACAATTTTAAATGGTGATATTTTTGTATTTATTCATCTGACACGTACCAAAAAAATGAGGAGAAACTTCTATAAAGATTCCACCAAAATGTTCATGGTGGTTACGTCCGTCGGTAGGAGGAGGGTCACAGGAACTTTTACTTGCTTTCTAGACTTACCTGCTTAGAAGTTGTTTTTGTTTTTTAACAAGGTGCACATATTCCTTTTGTCCTATAAAAAGTAAGTCATTTAAGTGGGGAGGTTGGGCTTCATGGCCAGACTCCAGAGCTCCAAGGGGTTGGGAGAGCACAGTGGGGAGAAGCCAGAACAGAGGGGAACACTTTTGCTGAGCCCACGGTGTCCCAGACACTCCACCAAACATTCGGTCCCACCGCCACCCAAGGAAACAGGTACCATTTACAGATGGGAAACCAAGACACGGGGCTGATGGGCCTGGCTCTGGGCCCCACGGCTGGGAGGTGCTGAGGCTGGGACTCAAACCAGGGCTGTGACCTTCCAACTCCCACGCCCAGCCGTGTCTGGCCGATATCTGTCACATCTGCAGGCATTTCACTGCCTCTCACTATCTCTGACCTTCTCTCTGTGACTCTGTCCCTTCCTGGTCTCCCTGTGTCTCTTTCTGTCTTTGCCCGCTGTGGATCTCTGTCGTGTCTCTCGCTGTCTCTGACCTTCTTTGGGTGACTCTGTCCCTTTCTGGTCTCTCCCTGTCTCTTGCTGTCTCTGTCTCTGTGTATGTGTCTCTATCTGTTCCTTGGTCTCTCTGTGTCTCTTCCTGTCTCTCATGTCTCTGAGCATCTCTCTGTGTCTCTGTCTCCTCTTGGTCATTGTGTCTCTTGCTGTCTCTGACCCTCTCTCTCTCCCCCCACCCCCGCCCTGCCTGTGCTGATGGGGCCCTGGCTGCATCTCTGTCTGTGTCTGTTTTCTACATGTGCCCTTTACAGTGTCAGCTCACAAGGGCAGAGTTTCCGACTGTCTTGTTCCCAGCACTGTCCCAGCGCTTAGAACAGTGCCTGGCAGACAGGAGATGCTCAATAAATATTTCTTGAATGAATAAAGGAATGAATGAATGAATGAACTCCCTGAGAAGGGTGGGGGTAGCTCCGTTTGCCGGGCCAGCATACTAAGGCTATGGGTGGGCACGTACATGCCCAGAGCTGCCAGCCCAGAAGGTCCCAATGTGGGCTTGGAGCCAGCCCCCTGGACTCTGCCCCCAGCCATTCACAAGGCACCCAGGACATGCCCATCATTGCTCTTCCCCGCCCTCAGAGAAGGGTGGCTCCCTCCTGGCCTCTCCCCGCTGTGCTGTTGGAGGCGTGGGTAGCAGCTGGGAGAACCGGCTGGGTGCTGCCCCTCCCCTTGGGCTGGGAGTGGAGGTAGGCACCTGGCGGGCTCCCCGGGGTGGCAGACGCTGCTGCTCACACACCTGGCCCCCCGCCGCCTGCTCCCTGCTCGTCCTCCCCTCCCCACCCTTGCCCACCTGCCATGGACGGGCCTGCCGAGCCCAGGATCCCGGCCCTGTGGGGCACCTACGAGAACAACATCTCGGAAATCAGGTGAGGCCCAGACCTGGGCAGGAGCCAGGAGACCCCCCCCTGGAGGTGGCGGCTTGGAGGGAGAACCCGGGATCTTGGCAAAGGTGGCCCCTGGCCTCCTGCAGCCTCAGATCGGGGCTGGGAGTGGATGTAGGCACCTGGCGGGCTCCCCGGGGTGGCAGACGCTGCTGCTCACACACCTGGCCCCCCGCCGCCTGCTCCCTGCTCGTCCTCCCCTCCCCACCCTTGCCCACCTGCCATGGACGGGCCTGCCGAGCCCAGGATCCCGGCCCTGTGGGGCACCTACGAGAACAACATCTCGGAAATCAGGTGAGGCCCAGACCTGGGCAGGAGCCAGGAGACCCCCCCCTGGAGGTGGCGGCTTGGAGGGAGAACCCGGGATCTTGGCAAAGGTGGCCCCTGGCCTCCTGCAGCCTCAGATCTAGCCCTGAGTTGGCTGGCCAGCTGGACTGGGCTGGCCCATCTACCCTGGGGGTACAGGTCCCTCCTGAGAAGGGAGTTGGGGACCTGAGCTATGCTCAGTCACCAGCTGGGAAACCTGAGGTGTCCCTGTCCCCCTTGGGGCCTCAGTTTTTCTGTCCGTCTAAACGGTCCACAGCCCTTTGTCTCCCCAATGTAGGAGTTGGTGAGAACAGGCAGCTTGGTGCATAGTAGTTGCTCAGGAAACATAAGGGCTTCTTGGATCCCATTTTTTTTCCAGGACACTCCAAGCAAGCCCTCAAATAATGAGGGTGCTTTCCTTCATGGGGGCTCAGAGTGTGCCACCTGCCCCATCATCCATTTGGGGGAGGATGGGAGAACAGAGGTGGGCAGGGCTGGGATGCAGCTGTGTCCCAGAGCAGGGAGCTGTGTCCTGGGGGCTTGGGGACTGGGAGAGTGGACTCCAGACTCCTCAGCCCTCATAAGAGTGGTTAGGACAGAACGTTCCTCACCTCTCTGAGCATAGTGTGACTCCTCTGTTCCTGGGGCTGAGTCAGACACCTTGATAGTATCTGCTTTCCAAATAGGGAAACTGAGGCCGAGAGGGAAAGTGACATGACCACTCAAATACGAACCCAGTTATCTGAGCCCAGAACCTGTGGTTTCTCTCTCTCCCAACATCCTTGGTGCTACCCCCATTATGTCTCTCCCATGGCTCCGTTTTTCAGAGAGGCAAACAGAGGCACAGAGAGGGCAGGCAGCCTGCCTAAGATCACACAGCAAGCTGCTGAGAGGATCTCCAGCCCCCGATCTTGCATTCTTGCCAGGCAAGACTCTCCTGGCTTCTCAAGCCCCTCCAGCCACTCTGGGCAGTGAGAAAGGGGACAGCCCAGCCCTGTCCCCACCCCAGTTGCCTCACTCCATCATAATGTCTCAGGCTCTCCTCTCCTCTCCCTCAGCTGGGAGAGGTCTTCCTGGTGCCCGGGACTCCAGAAACTGGGGCAATTGAATCCAGAGACTGGGGCAATTGACTGCAGCGTAACCTAGACAAGCTTCCTAGTGACTCTGGGCCTCTCGGGCACAGAGTGGCCATAAGCCTGGCTACAGCTCTGTTAAGGAACATCCCAGCATACTCCACTCAACATTTTCTTATCTAGGCCTCTGGGTTCTGCAGTTCTTCCCTCCTGAGACAAACCACCTCTCCTCCAGAGTTCTTGTCTCTGGGAAGGCCTCTCTCCCCCAATCCAGGCACCTGAGAGCCTCCTTCCTCTTCGCTCCCGCCCAGCCAGCTGGCCACAAAAACCCCTGAGTGATCTTGCTCACTGTGTGACCTTGGTTGAGTCATATGCCCTCTCTGAACCTCAGTTTCCTCATCTGAGACATGGGGGAAAATAGCCCTCACTGGTAAGACTCCTCTAGACGGGAGTGTCCACAGCTCTCTGGGAGGTGCCCTTAGGACCCCAAACTTCCACAATCTTCTGGAAACCCCTGTCCCTGGAAGCATGACTCTCATGAACCCGTAGTCATCTCTTCTGGGGCTGTTTCCTCTTGATTTGCCCATCTCAGGGATGGCCCCTCCAGTCACTGGGCCAGACCCCCAAACATTGCCCTGGCTACCTTCCCCTCTGCCCTCCTGCCCCCAAGCAGCCTGTCAGTCCCCAAACCCTACCCCCTGTCCCCTGTCTGTCTGCCCTAGCCCCTCCTCTCCATTCCCACGGCCCCAGCTCAGGCCTTATCATCTCCCCCTGGAGCCTCACCCCAGCCTCTCTGTCTCCAGTTGGCCCCAGAGCTGCCCCTCCCCTTCTCCCAGCCACCCTGTGACTCCCCAGTGCCCCAGCCCCTCTAGACCCTGGTGCTCTAGCCTTACTTCCCACCCCAGCCAATCTTCTCCCTCACCTGCATTCCATCTTTCCTATTACTTCAAATTCCCTGTCATGCCTCACTGTCCCCTGCCGCAATGCCTTTGCACATCTGGTTCTTTCTGCAGGGATTCCCAGAGGCGTCCTTTCTAATCCCCAAATCTATCCCTGGCCATCCTCACAGCAATGGTTTCCAAAACCTTTTTAAGGCACAGATTTCCCTTGTCCAGGAGAAATCTTACTCCCAAGCAGAAATACAGAATAGAGATCAAGACAGCTGCTGTGGTTTGAAGCCAGGGAGTGGGGCTGGGGTCCAAGGCCTGATCTTTTCTCCCTTTGTCTGCTCCTCACACCTCCGGCCTCCACTGTCTTGGTGGATATGGCTTCAGTAACAATTCGAAACCCCCGTGTGGCCTCCAAGTCTCTGCTCACCTCTCTGCCTCATAGCCCCCACCTGGCTGCATCCACACCTTGTCCAGCCTGGATCACCCACTGTCGTGCAGTTTCCTTTGCCTGGGGTGACTTCTGCCCTCTCCCCTTCATTTGCCAAATTCCTGAGGCTCAAAGATTCAACATGGGCAATTTAGGATTCTTGGCCAGAGGATGCATCTAGGACAGGTCCCTGATCACACTAGTCTATCTTAAAATCTGTGCTGTGGCAACCAACTGTTGACCTGTTCATGGATAGGGACAGAATGCAGGAAATCTGTGAAAATGACATCAAGGAATGAATGAATGGAGGTGAAATTAGGCAACCTCTGTGCTGGAGCTTGTAAGGATGAGTCAGGGTTAGAAAAGTGAGGAGGGGCAGGGTGTGCTGCAGTGGAAAGGGCAGGGGCAAAGAGGCAGAATCTGTCTCAAGAACAAAGAGAGGGGCTATACCAGCCAACCACAAAAAACAAAACAGAAAAAATAAGAGAGGGGATGGCCGTTTGTCCGCTGGTTAGAGCGTGGTGCTGGTAACACCAAGGTCCAGGGTCGCTTCATCCCTGTCCCTGCTGGCTGCCAAAAAAACAAACAAACAACAAAAAAGAGGCAGCCTGGATGGGGAGGGGCGGAGGGGCTGACGAGCAGTGGAAGGTCCCCATAGTGGACCAAGCAGTTCCCAGGACACTGTCTACAGCCTGATTCCATTTCTTTAAGCCTCGTGAATAAGTAAAGCTAAATCATATATTATTTTCAGAACACAGACATGTGTGATTAAAAAAACCACAAAACTACCTTAAAAACAAAAAACATGGGACTGATGAGGATTAAATTCAGAATAGCAGCTGAATGGCGGAGACCGATGGGACTGGAGGAGTCCAAAGATGCCAGCGAGGTGCGTTGTTCAGAATGTTCTGGTTCATGGAGTTTGCTATAAATCATGCTTTATAAATTCCATGTGTGTTCCATGCAGCCTTGTATGTACCCAATAGACTGAAAAGGATAATAAGGGCAAAATAAAAATTATAAGAGGAAGAAGATGCAGGAAGTAGTCAGGACAGAAGCCCAGAAGACTAATCCCGCAGCGTCCTGAAATGCCTTCTGTGTTAGCTCATTTAATCTCTGCGATGAGCCCACTCGAATGATTCACTCTTGTCACCCCATTTAAGATTTGAAGCCCAGAGAGGCTGAGTGACCTGGCCAAGGCCACACAGCTGCCAAGTCGGGCGTAACCAGGACTTGAACCGGGGAGGCCTGACTCGATCGCTCCCCGGACGAGGATTTGGGAAGGAGCGAGACCGGGGAGGGGCAGGGTCCGGGCGGCGGCCTGTGCCCCGCGGGAGGCGTGGCGAGCGCTCGGCCACCGCGTTCCCTGCGCTCGTCGCGCGGGGCTGCGCCACGGCCCGCCCGTCTGGGGAGGGTCAGGGCCAGGGAAGCCACGCCGGCTTTTGGACCCGGGGCGACCTTGGCGGCCGCGAACGGCTGCGGCTGCCGCCCCTCCCCTCCCTGTGATCTCGGAGTCCCCTGTGCGGGCACCTTCTGATCCCGACCTCTTTTATGGCGGGGGCGGCCGGCTCGGGTTTTACAGCCCGGCCCTCCTCCCTCGGGAGGGCTGAGCCTCTTGAGTGACTTCACGGCTACAGTCGTGCAGGTCCCGGAGCGGCTTCTTCCCACACAGGGCTAATAAAAAGCTTTCGAACAATAAAGAAATAATGCCCTTGGACCTCGCCGCCCGGGTGGGATTGAGCAGGCGGAGGGCGGCGGGTGGGGGCAGCTGTGCCTGGTGGTCCTGAGAGCAGGGACCAGCAGAGGCGAAGGCTGGGACGTGCGAGCGTCTAGGGCCCACTGGGAAAGAACCAGGCAGCCCAGTTTGCCTCCGGGAGGCTCTGGGGGAAGGAGACCCAGTGGGTCACCAATGCGTCGAATGCCAGGACAAAAAGGGAGAGCCCGGTCGGTCTTCCTGGGAGGCCCCCAAGAGGTGTGGCCCGCTACTCACATGGGGACCAGGCCCCTAAGGGTTAGGGAAGTTGGGATCCCCCCACCATAAGCAAGAAGGCCCACGGGAAGGCAACGCTGCGCTCAAGTCCCTCCGGACTCGCTCCCTAGTTGGGACGTGCGGGACAGATAGGGTGGCTTTTGGAGCTGAGCATCTGTGAAATGGGTGATGACCGGGGAAGTGACACCGCTCCTGCTGACTCAGCGTTGGTGCAGGTTTTTTAATTTTTCCTTCCTCCTTCTCTAATTTCCGTGACCCTTCCTGAGCCAGGAGCTCACGTGCTGGGAAGGGTGGGGACAGGGTGAAGGATGATGATAATTACGACCTTCCCGGGCGTTCACCCTGAGCCAAGCCCTGCTCTGAGGCTTTGTGTGGATGAGCTTGTAGGATTCTCATAGCAGCACTGCGAGGAGGCAAACGTGGTGATTCCCAATTCTCAGATGAGAAAACTGAGGCCCAGAGAGGACCCATACTCCTGAGATTACGCCAGAGACCCCACTCTTGACCCCCATGCTAGAGAAAGGGATCAGACAGGGGCTTCAAACTACAGAAAAAGGCTACCCCTTGGTGGCCATATCTTCACCAGGGGACTTGTCACCCCCCAACAG